TAAACACGTTTGGAGGAAAACGTGGTCACCGTGGAGGATGTTCAGGGCAGAGAAGAAGAAGAAACACCAACAGGAATACAGCGTAGTGTGGAGGAATGTGCCTGTCAAAGTGGTCAGAGCGGGTAGTGGGTGTTTGGTGGGGCAACGGGGGACTCTGACACAGCCTCATGGGGTAATTGGCTCCAGATGTGAGGCAGCGTGGCCCCTTCGCCAGAAAGGCGTCAGGGCTGCATTAAGGGCTCAGCCCAGGGCTGATGGGTTTCCACAGACACAAGCTGACCCCCACCCCCACCAACGCAAATCACAAGCATAAAACAAAAACTGTACTCCACACATCTCAGTCTCCACTGATACAACTTTATTTACCCAAAACCGACTGTGAATGTTTGAATAAGGGCATCAGAAGAGCTGAGAAATGTTGAAGATTTACTGTGGATCCTCCCACCCTGAAAACTCCAAACACACAAAACCTTACCAAGTATTTTTGGTCTAGTTATAGTGCAAACAACTTATTACAGTTCATATAAGAAGAAAACTAACTCATAAGTAACTTTTCAGCAAGGAGCTTGTTTAAAAAAAAATCCTTAATATCAATGAAAACTTTCTAGTTCCATTGGCAGATTATTTCACTGATAACATGGGAAAAGTCTTATTTTGAAATAATCTGCCAACTTTTTATTAATACTAAATAATTACTGAGTTAAAACAAGCTCATGTCTTGCTGAAAAGTTACTCATAAGTTAGTTTTGTCTTATTCCCAGTTTAAGCACATATTTGCACTGGAAACCATACAAAAATACTTGCTAAGATGTTGTGCTTTTCACACTGTTGTCTTGATAATGCACGTGGGGACAGTAGAAAAGAAAACCTCCGTTTCAACTTCCAGACTTCCACCTGCTCACACTGTAAAAACACTAAATCTTATTTCTAATGTAAATATCTCAGAACACTTAAAGGCTTATACATAATTCTTTAGTTAGTAATTATTGAATATTGATAAAAAATATACTAGTTTTACTGTCAGATTGTACCACTTATAACATGAGAAATATGTCTTGTTATAAGTGTTGTTATATTTTATTAATATTAAGGAATCATTGACTTAAAACAATGTCCTATGTTTTGCTGTAAAGTTACTTGTAATATTGTTTTATTTCAAGTGTACTATGATATTTGCACTAGAAATTAGATCAAAAATACTTGGTAAGATTTCATGTTTTTGCTGTGAACAAGGTGGAAAATACTTTTTCACAATGCTATGGTGCATTTTGTGGTTTAGAACCATATGTTTTACACACTTTAAGACACAGAATGCAGAGGAAAAACATGAAGATATGCAATTACACAGCTTACATTTCCTCTGAAGACGAGTGAATCTGTTTTACATTTCCTTCATGCTTTATTTACTTAGAATAACTCTGAAATTTCCTAATTTATGGGCCTTTCCCAGCATTATTTCATGCAAAGCATTAGGAAATCTGAGTGGAAATAAGGTACACTGTTGAACAACAAAAGCATCTGGAGTTTCAGAAAGAGTCCTCAGAGCAGGAATGCCGTTACTGTGACACAGCGAGCATGTTAACTGATGGAGCGTGGAAATGGATTCAAAGCAGAACAGCAGCGTGGAGCGAAGGTGAACAGAGACAACAGACGGAAAACTGAAAATGAAACGCAGAGCACTTCATCAGCGATGACACTCGCTGTGTATGTGGACGGTGTTTGTCGAGTTGTGGTCCAAACTGTGACTAACAGGGAGAACCACTCATCATGCCAGTCGCCATTAAAAAGCTGACGTGAAAAGACCCCTGAAGCACCTCTAAGGCAGGAACGCCTGGCGGAGAGGATTAAACTGGAAGCAGATGTGTGTGATTTTCTCTGCTGCTGCAGTTTCTGACAGTCAGAGCTGAGATGCTGATGCTAGCATCTCGGCTATCTCAGAGCTGGGCTTGACGTCACTCAGACCCGAGTTCACTAGAATATATAGTAGTTAAGAAGTCAGAATTTCAACATTGTTTGCAGTAGCCCTTATAATTTTAAGCTCCACTTTCCATAAACAAACACCAATTTGAGTTTGTTCAGTTTAGAGTTGCAGGCTCTACATATAACATTGTTTGTGTCTTGTAAAATCAACATTTTTCTTACTACTGTTGACGCGAGGAGCGGCCATATTGGAACATGAAGTCCGCCTAACAAGTCGTAACTATGGGTAGTCGGAGTTACTCCCAGTTTTCCAACTGGAAAAATCAACTAGAATGCCCTCCGAAGTCAGATTTTCCAATGGGAAACTGGGAAACTCCGACTACCCCAGTTATGACTTTAAGGCGGACTTTGTTTTTCAATATGGCCGCTCCTGTCGCCAACAGTAGAAAGACGTGGTGGAAACATGTTGATTTTACAAGACACATGTCTGTCTAATGTCAATGTAACACCTGCAACTCTAAACCGAACAAATTAAAAGTGGGTTTTATTAACAACAAATTATTATTAATAATAATTAACAAATTAATTAGAACTTATTGCAAAAATGATAAAACTCTTAAGAAATTTACCATGATAAACGATATGATAGATTCCCCTGGTCTGACATCAAATCCAGCTCAGAGTTCCCATTTCCCAGGTAACTGGAACGCAGCATTAAAGCCAAACAGGAAGCAGAAATGCTTTTTACCTACTTTCTTTTCTTCACAAATGAAAGGCCAGCAAACTGTCTGTATGACTAAGGTCAACAATTGGACAATATGTCATAAGTGACCACTGTTCTGACTTCAATCAACAAAAAACATTTTTTAAAGCACGCAGCCAACACCTCTTAAACCAACAGAAGAAGCCAAGGCTGCCAGCAGGGTCTTAATTTCAGCCCACCATCGTTCCCCTGCCTCATTCCTTCCTTTAACCCTGGGAGACGGTGTTGTCATACTGCTGGATGCGGGCCCAGCCCAGCCTTGTGAGCCGGTTTAACTAAACAAAAACACTCCCACCCTGAGCGGAGGACTCTGGCCACTCCAGGCCCCCATAAAAACAGCTCTGAACCAGGTTCAACATGCAGCCTTCCAACACAAAAAGCACTGGTTTTCAGAGCTTTGACGCCTATTTGGTTCAAACTTGTTCAGGGTTTTATACCCAAAGAAAAAATGACGAAGATGAAGAGTGCTGTCACAGTCGGACACTAGGTGGTAATCTTGTGCTAAAAATGATATTACAATGTGCAGTCTATGTAAAAAAAAAGGGGGAAAAAGGTCTAAACACTCTTGTTAAAATGCCTTGATGAAAAATAAGGATCAAGGTAAATAACTTCAGAACCAATTCAAGATTTTTGTTTCCCAATAAAGCTGTACAGATCAGACAGGGTTTCTGCAGGTTTCACCAGCTCAAATTTAATTCAAATTCAAAAAAAACTTTATTAATACCAAAGGGAAACTTAATAATAATTTAAGACCTTTTTAAGACTATTATGAACAAAATTTAAGACCTGTATCACAACAGAAACGTACAAAAGAAAATGTTTTATGTAGTAGTAATGCCGTTTTGTTTTGCACAGAATGAATGTAGCATTGGATATTTTGGGAACAGAAGAGACCCAGTGGCAAAGACGAACATTACCCAACCAACTGACAATACTTAAAAAAAAAAAAAAATAGCTAGCAAGGTTAGTTAGCAGCTAGTTAGAGGTAGCTTCAACCGCCTGAAGTCACAGAACGCAATGATGTCATCTGCCTGCGACTCAAATTTCCTTATAAAAAATGTCCCAGGAGAAAAATAAACTAGTATATGAAATAAAATGTTTGTGCCATCACAAAATTTGAGATCTGCGATTAAAGTATTTAAGGCCATCTTTCTATTATCTATCAAATTTAAGAAATTTTAAGCTTTTAATTTTAAATACCCTAACTTGTTTAGTATATAGACACTAGACGTCTAAAGTGTCTTTAGACATCTTTAGTGTCTAAAGATGCTCAGACACTGTCAAAGGCCACATTGTAGGTGGAAAAAGATTCAGAAGCCATTTATTATGGTTCCATTTTGTTTATATTACAGATATGAAGTCTGTCAAAAATTGCTTATTTATTCTTCAAATCCATTTTGTTTAGTAAACTTTTTTTCTCCAGACATTTATTAGCATATTGACCGTTTGCCACTACATCACTCAGTCGTTCTAGATGGACGTCGGAACTGAAGATCGGAGTATTGAACAGAGCAACTGAAGTTGTTTTTGTCAGTTTATTCATGGCTTCCACTTGTTCGAGTCAAGCTAATTTCTCTGAGTGTAACTCACTTGGTTGAGGGTCACACACGGCGGTATTTACAGAAGCGTGATAGAAACCGACCCTAACCTCCTCCGTTCTGATCAAATAACCGACTTACATGAATTCACACCACATGATTTAAATCTCTGCGTCATAAACTGCGGTTCCCTTTACACCGGAGCAGCTTGAAAAACGTGCAGAAGACGAGACGATAGCCGGTTTTTTCCCTACACCGTTTCCATGGTTACTAATGGTTAGACGCGTACCTCCTCCATAATGCCATATTTCATATCTTTCTAGTCATACTTACTTATAACTGGCAGCTCCTCCCCCTTTTTCTATAACTGTGTTTCCTTCACAAGTATTATATTTTAGGTTTAATTATCTACAGGGTTTCATGTGTGATCTTGTCATGTTTCGTGTTTTTTAAACTGTTATGATTAATGCTGTGGAGTTTAGCTGTGTATAACTGTACAACTGTCAACTGTTGTCATCTGTAGTTTGTTTAGGGTTATTTATTGCATTTTATTTAATGAGGAGGCTGATTGAAGTGGTTCTTCTGCAGGAAGCCGGCTGGTTGTCTGAGTGTTTGAGAGGCGACTTAAAGATGAACTAAACAGTGTAACAGCGAATGGAAACGTGCGCAGCGTGTGGCTTTCATTAGCAGAAAGCCGAACCGCAGAAGAGCGTGGCTCTCAACATCATAACCGCTGCTGCCAATCAAACACATGTTTACACAGATGAGTCTTAGACGTTCTGATGAAGACATTTTAGTGGTTAAACAAGCCCGGGTTTCATTACGTAAACAATTTTCCCTTCATTTAGTGCTCAAAACAGAGCAGAAATACATCAAGTTAGGACAAGAATCATTAAGGCTTTCAGGAAAGTTTAAAGGAATAATAAAGTGCAAAATCAAAACCGTAAAATCACCCACAAAAATAAAAAAATGTAAAAGTCAACATGTAGAAAAACTTTCTCATAATTTGAAAGCTATATAAACATTTTAGTGTCATCATAAAAAGTCCCTGAGGTGATGCTGGTCCCTTTCATGATTCAGTTTCTTTGGTTCACTTTTCCCTTTCTGGCTTGGATTTGGATCACGAGCTCAACACCCACGAGAGAATGATGACAGTGAGACTGGTGACACCCATTATCAACCCAAAAACCACCAGAAATATGGCCTGCAGGGACAAAAACAAACACCAGGTCAGGAAAAAACACCAGGAAGAAAACAGCGACAGGTGAAATTTAGCTGATTTACCCCGATGGAGTCGAAGGATTTGATTGGCTGGCTGCTGATTTTAAGGTAGAAGATTCCTGGAAAAACAAACAGCAGGCAGCTGGACATCGTTGAGCCTAAAAATAATAGATAATGATTAAACACTGATTAAAATCAACAGCTGCCGCTTCATAAACTTAGTTCAGGAATGCATTAATTATGCATAAATGATGCAGTTTTAGAAGCAACAATCAATAGCTTGAATATTTAGCTGCTTTTAAAGTCTGCTGGAAATAAATTCAGCATCAAAACATAAATGTGGTTTCTATCATTACATTTCTAGTATTAAATTAAATTCTGTTAAATAAATGATCTCTTTCCTAACATTTCCTTAAATTTCATGTTTCAAGATTTCAATTCAAGCAGGAAATAACATTTCATGTAAAGGCTAAATTTTTATTGTTTTAGATAAATTAAAATTATTTCCATTTTGCTAAGTGCCATAATAATACGAGATATTCTTTTTTTTTTTAGACAATCTTTTATGACTTCAGATCTGAATATTGTCTTTAGTTAATCCGGGAAAGCCCAGATGATGATGTCATGACTTTGCAAGCTTCTAATTGGCTAAATTTAAAAATCTGAGTTAAACATGTTTGTGTGACATCATTGGAAAATCAAAATAAATCAACCGAGATATCGGGAAGAGAACTGAGGACCTCCACATGTCTGGGAATCTCAAGCTATTCAAACACTGCAAAAACACAAAATCTTACCAAGTGATTTTGTCTAAATTTTAGTGAAAATATCTTATTACATTATAAATAAGACGAAACTAACTTACAAGTAACTTTTCAGCAAGATAGAGGAGTTTTTTTAAGTCAATAAATGTCATAAGTTTATCACAATAACTTCTGGGTACAGCTTAAAAGGTGTCATCAATTCTGCCTGCAAGACAAAAAAATAGACTAAAATGAACTAATTTCTTACATACCAACGACTCCAAACACATTCCTGATATCGGGCACGAAGATGGCCAGCATCAGCACCACACCCAGGATGATCAGAGTGGAGACGATGTGGGTCAGCCAGGAGAAGGGGCGTCCTCCGAACAGCATTAAGATCACAGCCTTACGGGCCTAATTCATGAAAATTAAGCGTGTTAGCTTGAAAAGTGATTCCTCCGACATCTAATCTGACGTGGCGTGCTCACAGGGAAGTGTATGAGCGGCACCGTCAGCAGCACAGAGAGAAGGATGGCCAGCCGGACCGTGATCACCATTCTGTCGTGCGGCCGGTACACGCCGTAGCCGAGCAGCAGCTCAGACTGTACATGACCTGAAGGAGAAGAAGGAGGATAAAGGAGCAGAAACAGAGCAGGACGTTAAACTGATGAGGTCTGCAAATAATGGCTATTTTAGCTATCGATTAATCGATTATTCTGACGATTAATCGGATAAAAGATCTGGCATTTTTTTATTTATACATTAAAAATGCAAATAATTCGATTTTTTTATAAATTAAAAGAAAATAAACATTTTATTTCGTAGAAAGCAACAACACAGCATTCCTTTAGTGTATGCTTGATAATTTGTAGCAAAGGATCCATCTGCAACATCAGTACAGTGCAGGGCAGACCTGTTGATTATTTTTGGATTAAGAATTGGATAGCATAAAGTGTTAATAGATTTTTTTCAGAAGTTGAACCAGGTGAAGCTAAAACTATACCACTAGAGAAGTTCCGGGTAGAACGTGTATACAGAAAAATAAACTTTTCTAAAATCCTGAATGCAAATGTATTTATTTTTGTACAGTTTTGGTTTAATTATTGCTCTGATTGTGTTGTTCTTTAGGGAGATGGCCATTGTTTGAGTCTGCGTATTCCAGTTAACAATTTTTTATTACAAAATCAGTTGATGATTATTTTCACAATCGTGATTCATTATCGATTAATCATATGAATTCAATTAATCGTTTCAGCCCTACTTACTATAGAAGGTGAGGTACCCAAACAGAGCAGAAACGTAGTAGAGCAGGAAGCTGAGACTGATGCTGATGTTCGCAACGTTCTGCATTCGGGTTTTGGTTGGTCTGAAAGACAGCGCAGTCATACAGTTAGCGTAGCGGCTACATAGCAGGGTCCAGAGACGTGTTAAAGCCGGAGGCTGACCGCTCCAGTTCGCAGTAGATGGGCAGGATGGCGGTGTGGCACAGAAAGGAGAAGGCCATAGTAGGGATGGCGTAGGCACTCTGCAGCAAACAGAAAAGAGTTGATGAGAAGACGGATGGAGCTGAATACAGGAAAATCCATGAGAAAACCAGCTGGAAGCTGCAAAAATGCCGAGTGGTTAAGTATTTCTGTCTAGTTTCCAGTGCAAATATCTCAATACACTTGAAAGAGGACAAAACTACTATAAAATTATCTTTTCAGCAAAGTGTAGGTGCTTGTTTTAAGTTAATAATTCCTTAGTCTTGGTAAGAAAATACTAGTTCCACTGGCAGATTGTTTCGCTTCAAACATAGGAAAAATTTAATGAGTCTTGAATCTTAAATGAAATAATCTGCCAGTGTAACTACAATGAATCTTAAGGAATTATTGACTTAAAAAAAGCTCCAGTTTGTTGTAAGTTGGTTTTGTCTTATTTTAAGTGTAGTAAAATATTAGCATTAGAAACTGGAGCAAATTCTCCTTTGTCTTTGGTAAAAGAACATGATGCATTTCTCCCAATAGTGCTACATTCTTGGATTTGTTTTTGTTGTGTTTACCTAGGATGTCCTGTGTTATAGTCCACTTTCTGCAGAGTTTGATTGAGCATTCACACATTAATCTGACTTTCTAGGCAAGCAAACTAAACAGGAGTGATGTGAAAGTAGTTTCTACAAAGCCTCGACTCAATTAAAATATGCCACCATTTTCAGATTTTCATTTGTAAAACCATTTTTTCTTCCTCCTCCCACTTATGCACTTTGTATGTTAGTGTATCACACAAAATCTCACTGAAAGATGCTAAAGTTCAAAATTTCAATGTACAAAAAAGATCAAGGAGTGTGAAAACTTGTAAATCTGTAAATCTGTGAGATGCATGTTTGCTCTTGGAATGTAATATAAATATGAGGGGCAGATGGGAGGGGCAGCTGGGAGGGGCAGCTGGGAGGGGCAGATGGGAGGGGCAGCTGGGAGGGGCAGATGGGAGGGGCAGATGGGTGGGGCAGATGGGAGGGGCGCTGCTCGCCCTCCTCATAAAAGCACACCAACCCGTCACAGGTGAGCGTGTGAGCTGTCAGCGGAGTGGAACGAATGGCATTCAACAACTTCTCACCAACAAGTCAGACAGTCTGCATAAGACCAGAGGAGGGAAAAGGTTTTCACTGCAAAAACACATCTTATCAAGTATTTTAGTTCAGTTTCTAGGTCGAATATGCCAAGTAAGCACTTGAAATTAGGTAAAACTTACAAGTAACTTTTCAGCAAGACATAGGAGCTTTGATGAAACAAGTTTTAGTTTTAATGACATAATCTACCAGCGGAACTAGAATATTTTCATAAATATTAAGGAATAATTGACAAAACAAGCTCCTTTTTCTTGCTGAAAAGTTTGTTAGTTTTGACTTAAAGTGTATTATAGTAAGATATTTACACTACTGATGTTAATATTCTTGTTGTACTTTCATTAAATGGAGGCTTTAAAACATGGGTCTGTGTGGAATTAATATACACTGCAAAAATAAACTTTTATCAAGTATTTTTGGTCTAACTTCTCACACATATATCTTATTACATTTGAAATAATGCAAAACTAACTCACAAGCAATCTTTTAGCAAGATATAAATCAATGATACCTTAATATTGATGAAAAACTACTGGTTCCACTGGCAGATTATTTCACTTATAACAAGGGAAAATTATCTTATCAATTAAAATAATCTGCCAAAGGAACGAGTACTCTGATGAAAAATTATTTTTAAGGAATTACTGACTTAAAACAAGCTCATTACATGGTGAAAAGTTAATCGTATGTTAATTTTTTGTATTATTTGAAGTGTGATAAGATAATTGCAATAAAAATTAGACCAAAATTACTTGGTAAGACTTGTATTTTTACAGTATTAATATATACTCACCTTTATGGAGAGGATGAAGAGTTTAGGTGTACATTCTGAGTCAGACGAGTTTGATACCTGAAAGAAACAACACTACGTATGAAAATAGAAGTATATTCTCACCGTTTGCCCTCACATCTCTAGGAAAAAACAACTTTGGTAAAAGCGAGTTAGCTCGCGCTCGGTGTTGAGTTTCTAGAAGTCAGAGTTCATTTCCAATGTCAGGAAAGGTCACCTGGACTTCCTTCCCTTAAGGACTGGCTTTATTCACCATGCAGAGCTCCGAGCGGCCCGCTCTGGTCCTCATCAGCCAAATCTGACACAATCAGTAAACTCAACATCCCGGCTTTCCCTCATAATCCCGTTGGCCATGAACGTCTGGGCAAAATCTACCTACCAGACACGCCTACTCACTCAAAGTTAAAGCAGCAAAATAATAGTGGAAGCAACTCAGCAATTACTGCCTTACAGCAGAGAATTAGGGTCATGCTAAGAATATAAAAGAATAAAGAAATTATGAGAATAAAGTCATACAAAAAAACAGTCAAAAATAATGAGAATATAGTCATAATATTATGACTAACCTGGTAAAATGACTTTATTCTCAAAATATTATGACTTAATTGGAACTAGTACTTTTGAAAATCAATATCAAGGAATTATTGATTTAAAACAAGCTCCTATAACTTGCTGAAAAGCTACTTATAATTTATTTTTCTCTTATTTCAAGTGTACTAACATAATTGCAGTAAAAACAAAAACACTTGGTAAGATTTTGTGTTTTTGCAGTGAGATGAGTGAATATTTTCACAAGAAAGTGGATGTGATCAATTAGGAGAATCAATTAAACTTATATTTAACGTGTCTATCTGCTACATTCACATGCAGAAGAGTAAAACTATTTTACTGCACTGAACTGAGCTGAACTGTGTTTGTTCTGAATAAACTGTTTATGTTCACCTTCGTAAAGTTTGAGAGTATTGTCATGTTGTAAGGCAGCGGACATGGAATAGACCATTTCTTCACCACAACCTAGAAACAATGCAACAATGGAGCAAGTCAACACTGGAAACAATGCAGTCAACAGATTTTTCAAGGTTTGGGTCAGAGCTCACCACAACTGTAAAATACAACATGAAGATGAAGGCAAGGCTGCTGGTCCAACCCAGGAATCCTTTGGTGAGAGAGAGAGAGAGAGAGAGACACAGAGAGAGAGAGAGAGAGAGAGAGAGAGACAGAGATCCAGGAAAACGGAGTGATTCAAACCAGTCAGAGATGGGAAAAAAACACTTTTTGTTTGGAAACTCACCGATTTTTGGGGACATTGCTAAAGGCACAATGACACAAAGTGTGACGATGATGAGAAGTAGCCTGCCATCTTCATACCAGGCATGTCTGTTAAACACAAGAGGTAAAGCATTAAAAGTCAAGGCTGAATTGCAGCAGACTTTCTGAAATGCCTTAAAGTGGCATGCTTTAAGATGAACCAGCTCTGGAAATTTGTCTCCATTCTGGACTCAAATACAGAGTGACAGATCCGTCATGTGGAACGAATTAAAGGCTTTAGCTCTTTCAAATCATAACAATCATGTAGTTCACATGCTAACGCTGTGTCGCTCCATCAGATGGGACCACATTTCTCTTGCAGGGTTTTCAGGGAGGGGAATAATATTTTCTTTTGCTCAAGGAGAGCCTTGGTGGTTTATTGGGGATTGTGGAGGAGGAGGAAGAAGCGGTGCTGTAGTGACACATATGGAAGCCATGCTGGCTCCACTGGGGTCGGGGTCGTCTGGGACGGATCCTGGTTGTCGCTGCTATGTGTTGGGCCACAGCGCCGGGTCATAAGGGACTGGCTCCATGGGCGACCTGCCGTCAGCAGCACCTGCTCCGACCACATCAACACCCACTGACCCCTGCCCGGCAGCTTCACAGCTGTGGTGTCCGTCCCTGAGTCTGGACGTCAGGTGGGACGTCTGCTCTCACTCCCAACAATCTCTAAAGGTGACCTACTCAGCTTCCTTTAAAAGGTGAGGGTGGGTCTATGGCCGAAGCAAAACATGTTCATTACATTTTCAATATTAGATAATGAGATTTTAGTCTGCTCAGTTCTGCCTATTTTGAGTTGTTTCCGGGCCTCTTGTCACTTTAAATCCAAATAAGTTGCTCATGGCCACGCCCCCCAACTCAACGTTTACATTTGCACATGAAAATGGCTGCAAACAGATGCGCAATTATATAACCGTACATCTTTGAAAAGCAGAAGTGGAGCCTTCTGCACAACCAACGAGAATGCAGCAAGTGGTTTCTAAATAGTAAGGCAACAACAAAACTTGTCTTTTCCAGCAGCCATTGTACAGCGCATACAGCAGTAAAACCAGCTGACCAAACATGCTGGTGCTCAGCTTAGTTGCTAGATAACTGGGCAGGGCTAGTATGGGGTTGCTAGGTAACAACAAATTGCCTGTTAAATGGGACTTGACTTAAGGTTTTTGAAATTACTAATTTTACAGCCACTCACAAACACTAACTTATTGCCAAAAACTGTCTGGGTGTTTTATTTTTAGCGCTTCAGTTGCTTTAAAAATCAGTTAAGACCCAAACTGAAAAACAAAAACATTAAAATTGTGAATTTTTGCATGATAAGTCCTCTTTAAGCGAGTGTAATTTCTGAGATTGAAAAGTAAAATAATTAGCTTGAAAAAAATTTTATTTATTTTTTTTTTACTTTTGGAAATGTCAGAAGTAGAAATCTTGTTACTTTTTTCTAGAAAATTTCTGAGATTAATCTCAACATTTTTGAGTTTTGGGGCAGAATTTCACCCCTTAATTTTTTTATCTATAATGGCGCTAAAATCCACAGCTGCTTGGCATAAAACACAAAAACTGAAAAGAAAAACCTCTTCAGCAGACAAACAAGAACAACAAGTGGAACTGCTTTCATTGCTCTGCGTTATGACAAACGACTCGACATGTTCACTCATTTATTCCCGCTTTGAAGGAAGCGAATGGGCTCCGGTTAACGTCCCTGAAGCCGCTCATTAACAGGAACGTTTTGCTCCCCTCCACAGCGAGCCGTAATTAGACTGGCAAAACTGATATCCCCTTGTATCAGTCTGATTCTGGGGAACATGTGTGAGAGATTTGGGGGTGACGGGGTGAACGCAGAGTGCTAATATGGAGCAGCTGTGCGTGGAAGAGTCAGATGTTGACGGATGGGGGCTGAGAGCTGCTACAAGTCCTGCTTAAACCGGTGTGGCCAATAATAAAGAGATATACGTTACATTCTTGGCCAAAGGACGACGCTCTGCGAGGATGGGGAGCTGCAGGACCGACCAGAAAGGTCAATGAAGGACATAGGCTGCTGATGGCCGATGGATGACTGGATAGCGCCTTGCAAAGTTTTCAAATCCCCTGAGTTTTTCCAAATCACAACTCCAAATACTGGGATTTTTTGCAACTAAACAAACAAAAAGCTACTTTTTACATCCAATATCTTTTATATATATATATATATATATATATATATTTTTTTTTTTTTAACCAATCCTCTTTGCTGAATAAATGAAAGTTTCTCTGAATGTCAAATTTCAAAATTTGCCACAAATCTGTAGTTTAAGTTTATCCCACATTATAATGCTGCCATCATCATGCTTCACTGCACGGATGGTGCGTTCAAGGTGTTGTGGATAAACCTGCATGATAAATTAAAATGAGTTTAATAATTTCCTTTCTGATGATTAACATTTTGTGGAGGGTAATTTTATTAACAGAGATATGATAATCTATTTTATTTGTGGTTTTGTTTGTGTGTGGTTTTTATTTCCATTTTATTTATTTATTTTTGGGTTGTTTTATTTTGGACATTTAAATACCTTCCAGTTCCAGTGCTAAATGTTCTTTACGAAATTAAAGTTTATTCGTCTTTGAGAGGGCAAACTTGCATTATTAAAACTCCAAAGTGATTTAAGTCTTTTTTTTTCTCTTAAATAAATTTTATTTAATTTTTTTTAAATGAATTTATTTTAATCTTTAATCTAGTTAACTTATTTTTACTTATTTCTCATTTTGAGCGGGCTGCATGAACCCACCCGGTGTTTCCTGCGTTCAGGAGGCTGCTGATGGCTGCAGGAAGCTCCGACTTCAGGATGAACAAGTAGGACGACATGGCTGAGGAGAATCGAGGAAAACAAAACGTCACAAACAACAAAAAAAGATGAAATATTAACCAAGATCACAGAAAGCACCTGAATGCCACCACAAGCATTTATCAGCTGATATTTGAATGTTTTATTCCACCTGCCCTCAGCTGCACATATTTGGTATCCATGGAAACGTCATATTCTAAACGTCTAGAAGCGAATAAAAAGCATTTGAAATGAGCAGGAAGCACAAGGGCTGCAGGAAAAGCGTCAATGACCAGGAACTTTCATAAGAAAAAACACTGTATGGAGCTCTGGTAGGGCCAAATGTATATATATTGATTTTAATTTTTCTATCAGAAAAAATAGCCTAAATTTGCCATAATTTCTCTCTTCTTTTTTTTACACTGGATTTCTGAAAAACAAAAAACAAACAAAAAAAAACTTCAATTTAAAAAGAAATAATAAATGCAACCATTTAAAAAACCCCTCAAAAACAATAAATTTCATACATGCAAAATAAGTTTAGTAAATAAAATCACAGAAAATCCCCAGATGATATCAACCTGTGCGAAGGGCAAAACACGTAGGTATTTTTTATTTTTAACTAAAACCTCTACATTTTCTTTAGTTTACCTCAATCAGCAGCATTCATATTTGCACAGGTAACGGTGGATCTGTGGTTTCCAAAAGTTTGCACCTTACTTATGATAATTTGAACAGGTTTACAGCATAATATTTTTTTAAATCCTGGCAAGGGACAAGAAAATCCAAATCATTTTATGTTCAATCCTCATCTTCTCTTAAACTAATGTGGGTGCTGTGATACTTGCACTTCTGATGGACTCTCCCAAGTGTTAGCTTTATTTTGACACCAGGATTATTGAAACAGAGTTTGTAATTGCTGAGAAAAACTGAGTTAGACTTGGGCATGTGATTTCAAACACATACTTCAGAAAACCCACAGTTGGGAAACACACAGGAAAGGGAGCAGGCTAACACAACATGGGTGGCTAGCCGTGGGAGATCCCCAGTAAAGCCCCCAGTTGGAAGTGGCAGACAAAACACATGGCTTCAAATTGCTGCAGAGCAGCCAGGATGAGGTTAATCGGGTGAGGAGGGAGCAGGAATGCTAACAGTAATGATGTCTGACGCTAATCCAGGTACTTCCAACCTTTCTCCGCCTCGCCAGGAAACAAGATACTTCCACTTCGCACAGACAGTCAAACGGACAGAGGATCGGTTCACTTCCTGTTAGTTCAGAAAAACTCTATCCAGGGTGAGGAGCGCTAAAAGAACGGCAAGCTCACTGCAAAAACCCAACGTCTAAATGCGTTTTGTTCTAGTCTCTAGTGCAAGTATCTTGGCAAACTTGAAATTCAGATTGTTGAGTCAGAATTCTGGGCACTGTGCCGTTGCCTAGCAACCTCAGCTCGTCACCTAGCAACCCAAGCAGAACTCCAGCACTTTTAGTCAGGCGGTTTTTACTGCTGAACTACATAAATGTTTTGTTATTAACTTACTATTCAGAAAAATACCAATTATTTTTAGTATCACATACACTTGTTAAAAAAATATTGTCCAAAATAGTTACTAATACTGAAAAAGTAGTATTTCCACTAGTAGATTTTTCACTTCCAACATCAAAAAGTGTTTTATAAGAAAATAATCTGTCTGTTGTAATGGAAAATTTTATAATGTGCTCTTCATCCCTTTTGTGCTTTAGATTGTGTCTGATGATGAGATCATGTGTCTGCATGACCTTATCATAAGATTGGTCAAGGAGAATACATATATAACAATCAGAGATTCACACCTATTGTCCAATCAAGTCCCTCTTATAAAATCTATAAACCTATAAAAGGAAGCCAGATCCACTGTTGGTCAGAGCAGACCTGACAGACTCCTTTGACTCTGTACTTTTGTTCTCACCTTGCAAGGTTTTAATAAATTTTTTATTTCTTCTCATCCAGACTCTTGCTAAAGTAATTTTTTCCACGACACTGTGGAAGCAGTACATTTTGGTTTTATCAATATATAGGAATTACTGACTTAAAGCAAGCTCTTATATCTTGAGGAAAAGTTACTTGCAAGTTAGTTTTGTCTTATTTCAAGTGTACCAAGATATTTTCACTGGCAACTAGACCAAAAATTATTTGGTTAGATGTTGTGTTTTTACAGTGTTTCAGTGTGTGCTCATTGCTGAATTTAAGGGATTTATGATTGGGGAAGCCATGCACATGCAGGGCTAGCTGGGACCCTGCAGCCCTGAGGCGGGTCTTTGGCTCTCCTTTAAATAATCCCAGCCATAATCCCTTAGATCCTGTATTTGTTTAGAAAAGAAAATTCCTCCAATAACGCTCTCGCCCACACAGACACAAGCACTTTCTCTCTATGAGCAACAGCTGCCATTTCTGAGTGCAACAACTAGGCAGGCAGGAATCCTTCACTCCTTCATTACCGATTCAGTGGTTTATTTGTGGGCATAAAAATGCTGATAAGGCAGCTTGGTTTGGTCTGTCCATTTGTTTCAATGTTATCGACATCAGAGGTTTTTGATCCAGAAGTGACTTTATGGATGTGATTATTGATTCAGAGTTCCTGCTCTACATGTCAAAACACAACATTGTTCCAGACTTTAGTCCATTTTTCTAGTCAGTGATTAAAACAATGAAGCTAGCTAGCCGGACGGACGGTCAGACGGATGGAGTCAATAAGGACTGAAGTCTGGAAATATTTTGTCCAAATTCTGAAATCAGACCTCAGACTTTCCAGTGAAGGAACTCTGCACATCAGAGCTGCTTTGGTTAGTCAGCCAACAAATCTCACATCAAAAATATTAAAGCAACAGCATGTAAATCAGAGCCAGGAGGAGGGTCTTAACGCTGTCAATCAACCTCGTGTACACGCTGCTCAGCGTTCTAATGGTGCAGAAACATCTTACCATTCCAGGAAAACTGTTTATCTGCTGTCCAACTAGCCTGAGCATTCCTTCCCTAGAGGAAGGTGTGAACAGCATGTACACAAGCATGACTGACAGCGCTAAGACCCTCCTCCTGGTTCTGATTGGTTGTTTCTGACCAAGCTGTGTATTTCTATATTTAGAACTGGGAGCGCTGGGAGAAGGCAGAGGAGCTCCATCTTGTCACACGTTATTTATCTCGTATTATACTGTCACAACATAATGACAGTTTTAAATATATAAATAACAGATTTTTATTTTGAAAATAAAAGTTACACACTGCAGTTTTAATAAACAAAATAAAATTTTAAAGCCACATTGACAGAAACACAGGATGCAGCGGTTTAGCTTTATGTAGCTGGTCAAACTGAGCACACACTGCAAAAATCACCAAATCTAGAAATCTAGGTTCTAGAGCAAATATCTTAAAACACTTGAATTAAGAGAAAACTGACTTACAAGTAACTTTCAGCAAGAAATAGGAGCTTGTTTTAAATCAATAATTAATAAATATTGATGAAAAATGGCCAGTTTCACAAGACATTTTCCCCACGTTATTCATGAAATAATCTTCCAGTGGAACTAGTACATTTTCATCAATATTAATGACTTATCTGAAAACAAGCTCCTATTTCTTGCCGAAATGTTATTTTTCAGTCAGTTTTGTATTTTCTGAAGATATTTGGACTAGAAACTAGATAAATACTTGCTGAGTTTGTGTTTTTGCAGTGCACCAAGCACTTCTATAAGAGCCAGAGGTGAGATAATACTTACACATCTACTCAAAATGGCCCTTGAGTGAACAAAGAGGACAGTTATCGGCCAAGTGGTAAGAAAACAGACACTGATAATCAGCATGCATGTAATGTTAAAGGAGAGTAGAGGTGAGCTTTCTGTGTGTGGTCAGCGAATCGCTCCAGAGTGAATCCAACATGAGAAAGAACCGCTTTCATTTCATTAGGAGCCAGGAGAGGCCGGCCGGCTGCAGAGCCATCGGGTGGTCAGTAATTAAGGTCAATTGGCTGCTCAGCCTTTGGCAGCGCAGATGAATGTTTACCCAGAGTGAGGCTAATTGCACTCTTATAAAAGGAGCAGATGCACACTGGAGTGCTGGCTCTTTCACTCCTGCATGCTGGGGAAACAGCAACACATCAGAGGATAGGCGGGGATCTACCCAACCGAGCAGCTAACGACGGAGCAGCAACTACAGCTCAGCGACACATAAGATCTGATTTTTCATACCTGATACCATTTAATACATTTTTCGCTTTTTTTTTTTTTTTTTTAAACACCAGAAAATATTTTCCAACAGTGTTTTTTTATGTCGATCATCACCTCTGTGAGCTGCATGACTTAGTATCAGGGCTGGGCTACCAGAGTTTTTGTTTAATTGCAAGAACATAGTCAGAATATTAGCAGAAGAAAGTCGAAATTTTACTGGAAAAAAACGTCTTAGAATTATGAGAAAAGCTCAGTTTGTGGAGATCTTTCTACGAAATAGATGCAAAGTCCTGAAACTGATAATAATTTTACAATGAAATGTTAAAAGATTAAGTATTTCTATTAAGTATTGCACTGCAAAAACAGAAAATCTCACCTAATATTTTTGCCTTGCTTCCCGTTCAAATATCCGATTCCACTTGAAATAAAAGAAAACCAACTTACAAGAATCTTTCAGCAATATGTAGGAGCTTGTTTTAAGTCAATAATTCCTTAATATCAGTGAAAAAACACTAGTTGTATTGCGAGATTATTTAACTTACAACATGGGGAAAAATACAATATTACAAGTTTAAACAAATCTGCCAATGGAACTAGAACTTTTTCACCAACATTTAGGAAGTACTGACTGAAAACAAGTTCCAACATATTGCTGAAAAGCTACTTCTAAGTTAGTCCACTTGAAAAAAGACTAAACCAAATTATTTGGACTAGAAACTAAACTAAAAATATTTGGTACGATTTTGGTGTAAAACATACCAAAGTATAACTTCATAAGACGCTGTGAGGCTGAAACGATTAATCGAATTAATCGCGATGAATCAATGAAATTACTGTCAACTAATTTAGTAACCAATTAATCGTTGAGTATAAAAACTCAAAAAGTCCATTTGCTGAACAAATAGCGTATTTGGAGCAGTAATAATGTACAAAGTATATATTAATTCTGCAGTTCATTCAAGATAAAAAAAACCACATTTGTATATGTTTTATCCAAAACTCCAAAAGAGGCTGAATTTTAACTTCACCTGGTTGAAATTTACTAAATTAAAAAAGGAACTGAATTATTTGTTTCTTGGTATTTTTTATGTATTTGTAATATTGAAAAATCTGCAGAATTTGCCAAATATTTTTCCAATTAATCAATTAATCATCACAATAATTGATTATTAAAGCAACCATACTACTTTATTTTCCTAATATGACAACTTTGTTCTTGTAATTTAAAAAAATTCCTAGCCTGGCGCTTATATTCCATCATAGAGTTGATCTGAAGTCAAAGTCCAAATAAATGGAAGCTTTAAAACACACTTGTGAAGCAAGATGGCCGCCACAGGCGACTTCACTGAACAAACTACCCAAGGATTACATTGGTGAAGAAAAGGTCAGATTTTCCAAAAAAAAAAATTTCAACAACCAAAAGTTTGATTAATCAATAAAATCCTCTGTCTGTGGTGGAGTGGATCCCAAAATGCTATTCCTCCACACAACAGGGAGGGAGGGAATTTTACCATCAGCGATCAATTAGGGGAGAAGTCATGTTTCAGGCCCAGGGGAGGGGGTGGAGAGGACGGCGGTTCGAGGTCAGAGGTTATCAGGGAATCTAGATAATGGCCTCACAGGGGGAGTGATGAGAAACGAGCAGAGGACGTCAGCACAGGGTGTTCTGTCCACCAGCAGGAGGCGATGTCTGCCTCCAAAATAAACAAACCGTCCCTGCAGCATTCCTATGCCCAGTCGCAGCTCTGCTTCTCATAAAAACCACATAATCGCTTCATGTCCAGCATGTCAGAAATAATGTCTGTTAGTTCGTGTTGAAAAGAAGGCCAACTCACCACCGATATTTTGGATGACAATCGCTAAACCGACCAAAATCTGGAGAAAAAAACAAAACAATTAGAGTAAACATAGCAGTCAAACTGACAACATTAGGAACAATCCTGAAAGAAAAAAACTTACTTTTCCTGGTTTTTTCAAGGCTTTTTCTCCAAGTTCCTCATACGAGTTGATACCTTCAGCAAAATACAGTTAAAAGATTAAAATAAACAAATACTTTAACATGTTCCACTGCAAAAACACAAAACCTTACCAAGTACTTTTGTCTAGTTTCTAGTGCAAATATCTGAGTATACTTCAAATAAAACAAAACTAACTTACAAGTAACTTTTCAGCAAGATAATGTAGGTTTAAGTCAATAATTCATAAATATTAATGGAAAAAATACTAATTATGAATACTAGTTAAAATAACTTTTCCATCAATATTAAGGAATATTCATGTCTTTTCTTTTTGTGTTTATGAATCTATTTATTAACCTTTAGAATTGATCTGAAATGTATTTTTTTAAATGATGTTACATAATTTTGCTGTAGCAGTCAGTGTTATAGCTAATCTGAAGAAGCCTCTGACTAAAGACACTTTGTTGTTGTATAACAGTCTCATAAGGAGCATTTTGAGGATTTGCTGTAATTTTTCCTAATTTTATGGAGACTAAATCAATAGAAATCACAGAATGTTTTCGTTCCTGATATTCCATCCAGAGCGGTTCAGTGGGAATGAGACATAATTTTTACATATCGATTGGCCACAGAGTTCACAAAATGTCACAAAAAGATACCTCCATGATATACATCCATAGATGTGCCACCAATTCATTCAAATGCTCCGAATTAACCAATCAGAAGCTGAAAAAAAGCTGTGACATCATCAGGGCTTTAACCTAATTTGGTGGCAATCATCAACCAGCATGTCCTGCTATTGTTTTTCCTTTTTATCTTCTCTTTGGTCTCCTTTGACCCTTTTTTCCTAATTAATCAAACATCACTTGATTAGGTCACAATCAGGACTTGAGTCAGACTGCGATTGGAAAGTTTACAGTAAACTGATTAAATCTTGAGTAAAGGAAAAGCAATTCAGGGTGAGAAGTCGACACCAAACAGTGAGGAGGATTTACAGGGAATTAGTTAAAGGGGGCTGCAATATAGAAAATTAATATTTTGCACATTTTTGTACTTTCATTTGAGTTTCTACTGCTTCTTAAAAAAAAAAAAAAAAACAAAAAAAAAACAAACACCAAGTTGTTTTTTAGTGTTTGGAAAATGAGGCGTTAAAAAAACCTTTGGAATGTGATGATACAAATCAGCAGCCACTGGTGGTTACCTAGCAACCACAGTGGAGTTCCACCCGTCACCTAGCAACCCAAGCTGACTTCCAGCTGGTTTTAATAAAAAAAAAAAAATACTGTATTAATGTCAAATTAAATATTAAATTAAATATCAAAACCACTTCTTCCTGGTTGTGCGGGAAGCTCTACTAATACTTTTCAAAGACTGTACTGTTGTATAATTGCACATGTTCTGGATATAATAATGCACAAAAGAAGTGTGTGTAGAAATCAAGATAATTATGGACAACACTGACCATCCGCTTTAAGAGACTGACTTAGAAAAACAAAATGTCTTCAATCAGAAGCTTCTTCAAATTCGCTGTAATACAGACCACTACAGGAGATCTATCCTACCCACAGCTATCATCATCTAAAACAGACTCTCATTTTCTATTAATGATTTTTTTGTGTGCAAACAATGTGATAAATATGTTTTCTGTATCCGTAAAGCTATCCTAACCTGTTTGAGGATAGGTCACCCTTAAGGTCAGATAGTTTTATTCTCACCTGTTCGGTCACAAAGCGTCAGAAGCAGATGGATGGAATATAATGCAAGGCCGGACACCAGTACTAACAGGAGGCTGGGAACAATGGGAAAGCACTAAGTACTAAGTATTAAAGGTTTTAGAAAGAAAGGAGTGGTGAAAGGAGGCTCTCTCACCTAAACCCAACTATCCCTGTGCTGGCCATGGCATAAGCCAGGCCCAGAATCCCGCTGCCCATGATGGCGTTCATCAGGTTGAACACACAGGAGGCGATTGAGGCTCCAGTGGCTCTGGTCTGCACCGATCCCTGCACAGAAAAAAAACAAGTAAAACCACAGGAATAAAGACACACAGCTGAGAAAGAAACCTGCTGATTCCTCCTGACATTACGAGGAACAACTGGCCAGGCCTGATGATGGATGTCATAAAACAACACCGCAGGGGCCTGCAGGATCAGGGGATGGAAACGGGAATGGACGGGTGGGATTTGAGCTGCTGGCTGCAGGACAGCTGCCTGAGCTCAGGATAAGGGGAGCTGCCCAAACTGCTTGACCCCTCTAATGGGGGATATCCTGGACAGAACAAGTGGCAACTCTGGTGTCGGTGTCACAACAAGCTCGGATTGACCTGCAGCCGAGCGTTTGGATTCACCCCGTTACAGTACTGGAAGACCGGAAGTACCAAGTATTTTTAGTCTAGTTTCTAGTTTAAATATCTCACTACACTGGAAATATGAAAACTAGCTTACAAATAACTTTTCAGTAAGACAAGGCGTTATTTTAAGACAGCATTTTCTCAAAGTATGTATGTAACTTTTATAATATATATTTTACGCATTTGTTGAAACTGTCACCATTTTGTGACAGTATAGTATAAAACTAATAATCTGTAAAAATAAATTAATAAAAATCAAGTTCCTCTGTCTTCTTCCAGTGCTATCAGGGCAAAAAGGTGAGACTTAGCGCTGTGAATCACGTTCATGTGCATGCTGCTCACCCCTTTTGCTCTCTACTATGGCAGAGTTTCTCCCTGCTCTCTCATCGCAATGAGTTTCTCCCTCCATGCCAAGGCTCGTTAGCATAGCCACTCCGTAAAGGCGATTTGCTTCTCTGCCATTAGCATGATTAGCAGTGCATTCACGAGGATGATTGACAGCGCTAAGACCCTCCTCCTGGCTCGGATTGGTTGTTTTTTTTTAATGGGAGCAATGCATTTTTTCAGATTACAATAATAGCTCAGGGAGGAAGTGGAAGAGATTGATCTTTTTACAGATTATCTGTCTCATAAAAAATTGTGACGAAAGTAAGAGTTTTAACAAATATGTAAATCAGATTATTTCATTTACAACACTGGAAAATGTCTGGTTAAAATTAGGGATGCACTATATATTGGCACCAACATTGGCATTGGTATCAGACTGATAAATAAAACTGGGTCAATATGAAGAACCAATATTTATTTTAATCAGTTTTCCGTTGGGTTTTTTCCCTAAAGGTTTTAAAAGGTAGTGAAATATGTATATGTAATATCTGTAAATATTGGTTATCGGCCATCGCCGCAATATTAATATCATATATCGATATTGGCCCAAATTTTCATATCGGCACATCCCTAGTTATGAATGAAACAATCTGTCAGTGGAAAAAGTTATTTTTATTATTAACTTAAAACAATCTTTTATATCTTACTTAAAAGTTACTTGTAAGTTAGTTTTGTCTTATTTCATGTATAATAAGATATTTGCACTAAAAACACTTGGTAAGATTTTGTGTTTTTGCAGTGCAGTAACCAGATGGAGGTGAACACAGACCAGCTGCAGAGTGAAAAGTCCTGCAGATTTAAATCAAGCATATACTGAAAATGAATGTGCAGAAAGGTGTGTCTGGAACAAGCTCACAGCTGTTTGAGTGATACAGAGGTGAAGCACATCAAAACTCATAAGACTGTTGTCACTGGAAAAAATCTGGAGGGTCTGCTGAACTTTTCCAACCCTTATCCTCCATCCCCCGCACCTGATAAGAGATTTTATTGACCCAGATGCTTAAGTGAACAGAGGAATGGGGTCATTGCAATGACTTAAGGAGAAGAGGAGAAGTAATGGGGCTCAGTTGCAACAGATAATATCATCACAGGATTTGAGACACTAAAATATGACAGATATTCGCTAGAGAATACGACTGATAAGCCAATAATCTCTAAAACAGAGTTATTGTTAAACATAATCTTGAGTTGTTTTTCCTAATGCAGGTTTAAGCCGGGGTTCGTCCTAAAAACACCTTTAAGAACGATCAATACCAACATTCCTGTGAGAATTTACCAAAAGAGATGCTGAAGAGAGAGTTTGCATTATATTACATAGGCTCGCATTATTTCCCATTTAATAAAAAAGTTGAAGGTAACAGATTTGATTTCAATTAGTTTTTCACAAACAACCTAAAAGCCACATAGTGAATCGGGGCTTATTTATTTAAATATGTTTATTTAAATAAACGTTGGTTGAAACTGATTGACTCAGGTTTAAAATTCAGTCCCAGAATGTTTCATTGGTTCTTCATTCTGTTTGTGGCTTTAATAACAAACTACAATATTTACATTTTGTAAATACACTGAATAATTTGCAGTAATGTATTTATTTATTTTTATATGACTGGTTCAGATTCATTTTTAAATTTGAAGTGTATTAGCTGGCATCCATTTCCAAAATAATTTGTGTTTTAACATTTTTATCAAATAATTTTTTTTACATTTCAGCAGCAACAGCCCTGACTGGGTGATTTACATTTACCTAACATTTTGGAAAAAAATTACTTTTAGATGTCGTTTCACTACAACATACTTTTTACTTTTACAGGAATAATATTTTCATGAAGTATCGCTACTTTTACCAGACACAGACCCATACTTTATATTAAAGGTTGACTTGTTTGTACACAAGCTCTGTTGTTTAATCTTATTTTCTAATAAGAAGATACAGTATGTACTGTGACCAAAAGTACTTTACCCTGTTCTAACATAAACACTACCTAATGTGTATCTGTTTAATACGATTTATTTGAATTGCTGTGAAAAAAGTTTCGCCTCTGATTGTGTTAATTTCTATTAATTTTTTTATCTCAGTGTTTAAAAGATCGGAATTTACACATAACTTTGCATATTTCTCTTTCAGATTCCACTATTGTTAAATTTAAATAATATATTGTGATCAGTTACTTAGTACTTGTACAGCTTTTCTTCTTTTTTTTTTAATCAAATGTGGTTTAAGTTTACTTCAGTAATTTCTTGGGTGACAACTTTTAACTTTTTCTTCAGTAAAAATCTGTTAAATTTGTGCTACTTTTACTTGACTTTGATTTTTGGTGACTATTTAAATGTGACATCTTTTACATAAAAAAAACAAGTAGTGAAGTGGAAAAACATTAAGACAGTCAGATCAAACTAAGTAAAACATAAGTGTGCATACACAAGTAAAAAGAAGACTAAAATTAGACTTTTGCATAAAAGCAGAAGTTAGTCTAAACATTTGTTCTCTGAGTGCTGACCAATCAGAAAACTTACTGAAACTGAAAAAGTGAAGTCCAGCTCGTGATTTTGACCATAAACACAAGCAGTAACTTACCGATAAATTCATTTTTACCTGTAACAGACGGCTGACGAGCTAATTAATACTCACATTTCCCAACAGAGGAGTGTTCTCGCTAACAACGGAGTCTCTTCCAGAGAGCCTGGTATAAACATCCGCCTGTTCGCTGCTGTTGATGCTCATTCTGAATAGATAAAAACACAGAAAAATATTCGCTCCCTGCCTTTAAAAGCACATCGTCTCCAGAAGTCTTATCAGCCCGTCAGCTGATCTGTCTTTTAAGATCCATTTAGTTCTTCTTCTTTAGTTTTTAACGGCAGCTTGAATCCAAAGTGCTGCATTACTGCTACCTCCTGGATCGTACTTTAATTGCTTTTTTAAAACCTAGATAAAAACGTCCTATATTTTCTTTATCTGACCAGATTTTCTCTCTTCGCTTATCCTCTTACTTCCTACTCCGTCGTTGGTGTGATGTCACACAAACTGACCAATCACACAGCGAGTTGTAAAGTTCTTGACCAATCCCCAGGGGTCATCCACATACGCGTCGATTGTGGATGACGTAATTGAAGCGTGCCTTTGAACGGAGGATGTTGAGGTGAGGTTTTTATTTCTGCTGATTTTTAACTTAAAACGATAAATGTCCAAGTTTTAGAATTAAAATCATGTCATTATAAGAGCTGCCATTATGACATGTCGCTTAGAGATTGTATTGTATGAGAAGCAGCATTACAGAGCGGTTTAAATACTAGTTACTCCGTAGGTTTGTGAGATAAACACTAGCGAAACGTGTCCCCTTTCATTCATTAGTTTTACAGCAGAATAATTATGTTCTATAATGAAAGCTATCCATTAAACTGTGAATTACATTTACTAGCACACTGCATCTTTATTTTTATGCCAGCTTTATCAGACAATCAGGAAACAGTCATTTTGACAGCATCCAGTTTCTGTGCTAATCTTTTCTTATACGGGGCAATTAGATGTTTTTTCCCTCTTAATTCATATATGTGAATTTGTATGAATAAGCGGACTTTAGGGCTGTGCGATAAATTGGTTTTACCGATTAAATAAAATGGGTTATTTTTTATTTTTAAATCTGATTTTTTTTTCCACCAATGCACTCCTGGGGTTTCCATTGCTCATAATGGAAGGTGGCCACCTTGTTTGACAGCTGTCTTCTACAGCTTTTATTTATTTGGACTTGCTAAGATTATAAACTTGAAATAATACGATAATAAAGCATCAAAATGACCAGAATCCAGTTGTAATATTAGGAGAATAAAGTAGTAATTTTATGACAACTGTTACTCAAAAATACCAAAGAAATTAAAATGAGGAATGCTGAGAATCTTGTGAAGTTATGGTTTGGTATCAATTATATAGATAAGGAAATATTTTCTCTTTTAACTCATCAGCATCAGAAAATGATTGAAGAAACGTCTGAGTCTATTTTGGAGAAAGCAGAGTCTGAGCAGACGTCAGAAGCATCTTGTTTGCTTTTGTGTAGTTGTATTTTTTTAAAGTTTCATAAATTTGATCTGATTTTTTTTCTCCATTTTTGCTTTGCGCCTCCACAGAATCCTCTCCAGAACTTTTGAATCCGTTCAAAGTCAAACAAAACTTGGTTTTGCTGCTGTTCTCCAGAGTTTCCTCTTTTCAGACTCGGTCAGTTCTGGGTTCGTCGGGCGGACTGTGATGGAGCCCAAACTGTACCGACCCCCTCCTGAGGTTCGGGGCATGACGTCTCTGGACAAAGACGCCTTCACACGTACCGTCACAGTTCCAGCTCTGCAGGTACCAACTGGGGTCCTAAACAAAGTCGTGAAGAGCCTGAAGAAGTCCACTCTCCAGTGCCCAGGTGTGCATCGGGTGGTTCCAGGCAGCGAGGAGGGCAGCAGTTTCCGGTTGGTCCTTCTGGACCCACACAGGGTGTCGTCGGCGAGTTCGTTCAGTGAGGCTGAAGCGGAGGCGCTGAGGTCGTTCGGTGTCTCTGATGAGCTGCAACAATACGACCTGAAGCTGACCTACGACAACCTGAAGACGGAGGAGGTGCTGGAGGCGGTGCTGCCTCAGGGGCAGGATGTGACCTCATCGTTCAGCCGAGTGGGACACATCGCCCACATGAACCTGAGAGACCACCAGCTGCCGTACAAGAATCTCATCGGTAGGACTGGAAACATTATCACAAAAAGAGAAATCTGCATTTCATTTAATGTTTTGGTGATTTGTCAAAACATTCAAAAGTTAGAAGAGCGAAACAAATCAAGTTTTACAAAGAGATATATGATTAAGTTTTATATAACTGAATATGCAGAAAGAATTAGATTTATTGCGTATTCAGGTTGTACCTAAGTAACATATTACTTTTGAAAATAAGTAAAGTAACTTTCTTATGGAAGTAACCAGTAACAGTAACTAATTACTATTTCCAAGTAACTAGACCAACTGAGCATATCGCAATAATAAACTTAGCTGGACGATAAATTGTCCCAGAAGTTATTGCGATAAACGATAATATTGTTGTTTTGAGACAATTTTTAAGTAATACTTTAATGCAAGAACAAATTCTGAAAGATCAATAAACTTTAAATTCTAATAAACATTTAACACTGGAACTGAAAATCATTTTAAATATCCAAAAGAAATAAACAATAAGAATTAATTTTAGCTGCTTCAGTTGTTACAAATAATCAAATGTTAACTAAAGAAATCCTATGTTTATGCATTGTAAATTTTTTATCTTATTTAAAAAAGGAACTGAGTTATTTATTTGGATCTTTTATGTATTTCTATGATAGTAAAAAAAAAACAAATAAAAAATCTCTAGAAGGTGACAATTTTTTTTTATCCGATAAATTGTCAAAAATAATCAATAGCTGGTCATGCTAAATATGACGTCACTCAGAAACCCAGTATAATTACCAACTCTTCAAAATAAGAAAGATAAGAGAACATATTCATTAACTGAGGCAGAGAAATAATTAGGGCTTAAAATAACTAGAACACATTGGTCAAATCAAAATCAAATCAAACATATTGTTTGATTTTTCTAACTGAATTAACATGATTTCTAAATAACTCTGTGAAATTAACCTGCTGTGATAAAAATTGTAAAAATTTAAAACACTTTTTTAAGCTAATAGATACGGACATCTGCTTTGTTTGATCGACAAAGTTCAGATTTTCTGCTCTTTCTTCTGTAGGTCAAGTCATTATGGACAAAAACCCAGGAATCACATGTGTGGTCAACAAGACGAACATGATCGACTCAACGTACCGCAACTTCAAGATGGAGGTTCTGGCTGGAGAGGAAAACATGGTCGCCAAAGTATGCGCTGTTGTTTTATATGGATCATCCCCACATAGATCAATCAGCCTGTCATGTTTATTTGTGCTCAGTTCATTTATTTACCAATAATATCCCTATACAGGACAAACTGATTTAATTCTAACAGCTCAGCCATATTCAGAGCATAATATTTACAGAACTAACACAATATGTGATCAATCTAAACTTAAGAAAAGAATTAAATCAGAAATCGGATCTGGTATGAAAATTTAATTTTCATGCCTTATTGCCCAGACCTACTTTATTCCCTTAAAGCTGCAGTATGTTTTATAAAAAGTTATTTTTTTACACATTTGTTGAGATTTTCTGCGTCATGTTTTGAAAGGATGAGACAAAAATCTGTGAGAAAAATTAAGCTACTCTGACTTCTCCCAGTGCAAACTAGAAAGAACCAATCAGAACCAGGAGGCGGGTCTTAGCGCTGTTGATCACAATCTTGTGTGGCGCTACTCGTCCCGCCTCCTCCTCCCCCTTTGGTTCTCTGCTACATTGTTTCGAGTTAGCAAATGCTAACTAGTGCTTAGGCTAGTTAGCATGGCTACCGATGACGGCTTTCCTGTAACAGTAAGTTGTTTAGCATATTTAGCAGCAAGTACATGAGGTTGTTTGACAGCGCTAAGACCCGCCTCCTGGCTCTGATTGGTTGGTTTTGGTGGTGCGTTTCTTCAGACTGTACTAGTAGCTCAGGTGGAAGGTGGAGATTGATTGTTTCAGATTATCTATCTCATATTAAACTGTCATAACATGTTGACAGTTTCAACAAATATGTAAGAACATATTTTATAAAAGCTACATACTGTAACTTTGATAAACGAAATAATTTGCTGAAAAACAATGTCCATGATGTAAACAATTAGAAAACATCTGCATTCTGTCTTTACTGCTTCAACTACCTACAATAACTCTGAATAATCTGAATTAATATTTAGTTTATCTATTTTTGAAGTTATGTCACTCTCTCTTACACCTCGTCTTCTGTCCTTGCAGGTGAAGGAAAACGGCGTGACTTATGAGTTTGACTTTTCTCGCGTCTACTGGAACCCCCGGCTGAGTACAGAGCACCAGAGAGTGGTGCAGCTGGTTAAACGTGGCGACGCCGTGTTCGACGTCTTCGCCGGGGTCGGACCCTTCGCCATCCCGGCCGCCCGCCTCGGCGCCAAAGTTCTGGCCAACGACCTCAACCCGGAGTCGTACAGATGGCTGCAACACAACTGCAAACTCAACAAGTTGGAGAGCAAAGTCCAAACCTTCAATCTGGACGGCAGAGACTTCATCCGCGGGCCTCTGAGGCGGGAGCTGCCCGCTCTGCTGAAGGGGGAATCTGCGGTCCATGTGGTCATGAACCTGCCTGCGCTGGCGCTGGAGTTTCTGGACGCTTTCCGGGGCCTCCTGCAGCCAGAGCCGACCTGCGATCGGAACCTTCCCACAGTGCATTGCTATGGTTTCTCCAAGCATGACGACCCGGAGGCGGACGTGGTGCAGAGGGCGTCCCGCAGCCTTGGGTTCCCTCTGGAGAACGAGTGCTCTGTGCATTTTGTGCGTAACGTGGCACCAAACAAGGACATGATGTGCGTGAGGTTCACTGTCCCTAAAGACGTTCTCTACTGCAGCAGCAAAACCAAAACAGGTGAGAAACAAACCTGAACACAAAACATACCGACTGCGGTTATTAACGGTATTCACCTCTTTGGATGTTTTACTCTTTTGACTGCTTTTACAAATCAATCATGATGAAACAACTTATTTTTCTTTTACAAAAAAGTACAACACAAACCTTTTAAAAGTGACCTATTATGCTTCCTTGAACAAATTTATGAGCTAAATGATTCCTGGCTACAGGATGACATGTTCTTTCGTCTTTCCCATTTTGTAGATGGGTGGATCAAATTTAAACCATTAAAAAATGTGCAGCTTTTATTTATTTTCAGCTACGTGTTTCATTTTGCATCATTTTACTTAAAAAATGTTTTTTCTTCTACTTTTCTGTGACTAAGGAAGCTGCTGTTTTGAGCTTCTTAAGAAATGTATAAAAACTATTCACTCTTTTATAGCCATCTTAACAGATTAAAATGTTGATTTTTGTTTTATCTGTGTTCACA